CTAATATTGACCAAACTACCCATACCAACTTTTTAATATTCCAAGTTTATCTATCTTATTAAAAGTATTTTTTCACTTATTTCTCTTTTTAACTACTAATAATGTTTGATAATGATAATATAATATTATAATTTATAATATATACACATCATACATATTAATATATACATATCATAACATGTGTGTATTATAATTATATATCATAGCGTGTATGTATTATAATCTCATATAACATGCATATATACATACATATCATAACGTGCATGTTATAATTATATAATATATACATATCATATATATAATACATATATTTATAAAATTAATGAGATAGAATATTAAAATTTTATCATATTTTCTAATTTTTTTTAGTTTTATCATTTTTTATCACATGTAAGTGAGGATTTTTTTTTAAATTGATAAATTAAGAAATAATAATTTTGATATAAATATTGTAATAAAAAATAAATCAGTCTAAATATAGAGATAAGAATATATTTATCAATTTATAATTACCTCCCATCTTCTCTTCTTATGAACCAATAAGAAATCTCTCTTCTCTTCCCCTCCCTTCCAACCCAACAAAACCATGATTTTTCTTCCTCTCTCCTTCCTTCCGTGGAACCAAACAAGCCTAAATACCTACCTAAGCGGCTAAGCCCTTCTTTTTCGGCCTGAGCTAACTGCCTAAGCCTTTCTTTTTCACATGTCCACAGTCCACACCCATCCCACTCTTCAACTTGTTCCATGTGATCTTGTCCATGTGTCTGCAAGTTCTTGTTTGGATGTTTATAATGTATGACAACTCTTTTTACCAACTTTAATTTTTTAAGATGTGTTTGATTGATATTAAAATTTAAATCAAGATAAATTTTAGATATAATTTTTTTAAAAAAATTAAAATCCATCACAATTAATTGGTTTAGATTTAAGTAAGGAAAATAACAAAAAAATACCTATTAAAAAGATAAATAGATTATGCTGATTATTTTTGTAATAATTTTGACAGGTCAAAATCATTTATTTATCATTTTAAAATTCAGCAAGTATTTATTTGTCATCTTTCCTTTAAGTAACATTTAAGTTGGCACCGAAATTTTTTTTTAATGAGATGACAACTTATTTTTTTAATATATTATTTATTTTTTTATATTATCAGGTCAAAAGTATTAATGGACCCCAAATAAAGATAGTTATGACAGGATCTTATAAAAAGATGGAAAGGAGTAATACATTTTTTCAAAAAAAAAAAAGGTAGTATAGGTAACAATAAAGATATTTTTCTTTTCCATATCTCCTTACAATGAAGTGGCAGGCTCTCGAGATTTTATATTAGCCCTCCATTTGGAAGTTTCCATGATATATTTAGAGAGAATTACAATCAAGTCTCACAAAAGATAAATAATTATAAAAAAGTCCTAATAACAACCTCAACAGCCTATAATGACAAGTCCTATAGTAAGAATGACAATCTCTGTAACTTGTTTTTCAATTGTTTTCTTTACTTGTGACCTTATTATAATTCTTCCCATATTTTACTCTATATAGATGTTAGGTCGAAATTTATGAAATTCTGTATACAATGGATAAATGTAATAGTACGAATCAGGATAATGAATTTTAGTAACGACGGTTAATAATTCATTTTATTTGTAATTTAGTTTTAAAAAATTAGAGATCTTTATATTACGTCTAAAAATTTAATTACTGTCATTTGCTGTTAGCCTGTTATCATCTAAAAATATATTTATAGCCAGGCTTTGTATTATCAATGTTCATAAAAAAAAAAAAAAAAGGAATGGGGGCAAACACATTGACCGACCTTCTTGGTTAAAATGTTTAACTTTATGTCACTTTCTGGGATGCAGAAATTTAGGCTTCAATTGGGTTGTTGGGGAGAAAAAGAACAGGTGAAGAATAATGAGCCAGATCACAACTTGACACGTAAAAACTTATATAAAAGCAAAGTCAAGAAAGTATAATAAAAGCCACATTTTACTAAATATCAGCTCTCCTCATAATGACAGCATCAGAAAATTCCAAAACATTGTCTGATTCCTTAAGAATTTGGAAGAAACACGCGCAAATGACAGCCCAAAAGATCAGATAATAATAAAAAAGAAAAAACCTTAATCTTACCAACAAGCTAATTAATAACCCGTATATAAATTGACAGAGGGTCTTTTGAATCCAGTTTTCATTCAAAAAAAAAAAATTTGACAGAGGGGGACCCCCATATCGGGACTTACATCACTCGCACCACATGGGAGTACTTATTAATTAAGGTTTGGGGTTATGGGGACCTCAATTTTATTATCTAAAATACTTATTTTAATGTTTGAGAATTCACTTGTAAGAGGGATTGGCCAGGACGTAAGCCTCAACGGCCTTGAAGAGTCCGTCTCCCTTCTGCTTCCCAATCTTCAGCTCTTCTTCGCTGGGCTTGGCGTCTCCCTTCGTCACGTAGTTGACGGTCACCTTCACGACGGATCCTCCGTTAGGGGCGGCCGCCAACTTCGTCTCGACGGCGATCTTCTCCAAAGTCTCAGGGAAAGTGTCGCTCTCCACTAAGGTGTAGTTGTATACAAAGTTGTCCTTGTCTACTGCGTCCACCTTGTGCTTCGCGTAGTGCAAGTGTCCATCTGTACGTACACATAATACCACATTTCTCATTAAATATCTCAAACCCAAACATTCTTAAATAAACAGATTCAAACTAACTGTTCAGACTCCAGTGATATAGAAACAGAAAAAGAAATAGGACCTTCGAGGTAGTTGATCTTCTTGGTGGTTCCAGCGGCACCAGTTCCTTCGAGGATTTCGACGCTCTGGATGGCGTCGACAACCTTAGGGATGAGGTTGTCGCCATCAAAGACCAGAGCCTTGTAGAGTGTGGCAGGAGCAACAGCGGAAATGCTCTCTTCAGAGAAGGTGAAAACTCCCATTATGATTATGTGTGTTTAGAAGAAGAATATTGAGAAGACAATGGAAGATAATGCTTAGCTAGCAGTTATGGATATTGGTTCGTGGACATGCGGTACGCTTATATAGGCACCAACAAGCTGAGGTTTGGTGGTGCAATTGTTCATTGCTTGAGGTTGTGGGGTCACTGTGCGTGTGTGTACTTTAATTCTGTAATTGTGTTTCAACTTTGACCAGAGTGTTTGACTTAAAGTGGTCAAACATTGTGAACTGGGTGTTATGCAATCTAGAAGGCGTCTAACTTGTCTGAAGTCTTACGTCAGTCGATCAGATTTGCTTTGCTGAATGTCTACGTATTTTTGCATAAATTCCTATAGAATGCGACATTTCGAGTTTTGCTGAACGTCGGTAATTTTTCATAATTAATATAACCGTGCATTCTCCAAATCCCTGTGGCGTGTTATTAGTGTAAAGATAAAGTAGGACTCAGTTAGAGGTCCGTAATTGAATTCAGGAAATATTTTAAGACATTGAATGCATCACACTCACCCAAATTTTAATACTCGTATATATTACCTCCCGTCCGAAATATATGTAAAATCCATTTTTTAATATTATAACTACCTCCACTTTATAGTATAATAAGTGGATCTTATATTTAAAATGGGAGGTTGTATAATATTCATTGAAACTAACAAAAACTTTCAAGTTCCACTAAACTCTAGCTAATTATAACTGTATCATGTACGCATATGCCTCCCCTTTCCATGTGTGTTTATATACACATATATAGAAGGAAATAGATAAAATAATTAGAGAGAGGAGAGAAAACATAGCAGGTTGGTTTTGGGTCGTAATGCGGATTGCTCACGCAATATCTCAACTACTTGAGTCTTGATAAGAATGGTATAGCAGATGTATTAGATAAAGGAGAAAAGATAATCAAAAAGCTTAAAAGTTAAGGTGAAGAGAAATGAGTTGAGACACCTCTAAATGATCAAGATGACCCTTATTTCAGAAACACAATCTTCCTCATTTATTACGGGATAATATTTCGATTCTTCGATCAACAATCACTGTCTAATTGATTTTTTTTTTCAATTAATCAAGACTTTAATGCTTGATCAAATATTTCCTAATCAATCAATTATTACTCTTTGTAATTGGTTTTCTTTATAAGAGAGACTCTCTTTTCTTAGATCAGGTAGTCCAGCGCGCATGAAGGACAGACTTGAGCCAATGTCCAACACAATATATAGAGAGAGAGAGACTTTAATGCAACAGATTTAATAGTGTGATAATGAAACGGAAGATAAAAAGTGCACAATTTGTCCTCTAATTTTATGTCAAATTTTAATTTAGTTCCTTAATTTTAAAGTAATATGTTAATGTCTTTGAATATTTTGTTAATATTTAAAATTGTAACATCGACATTTTTTCAGTGAAACTAATAATATTAAAGTATTAAAAAGGCACTTTAATTATAAAATTAAAGGACCAAAAAAAACTTTATATAAAGTTAAAGAATTTTTTGCTTAAATAAAATTTGTGACTAAAGTGGACACCAGATAATCGAATGAATTGTGGACATTATTTGAACACTTCAACAACTTCTACTTTACAAAAGGTAGCATTTAAAAATTGTAAATGCAACATTTAGATTTGATTTAAATTGAAATTGTAGTGCAGTAATGTTTAAGTCATTAGGTATTTAGATCTATTTTTGTTGTTATGTAGTAGAAGCGTACATATGGACTTAATTGGATCTCCCAAGATACACCAGAACCTATATACATATATGTGTGTATGCGCGCATGAAATCAGCCAAACCCAGAAAACAAAAATCTTTCTCAAAATTAAAAACATCTATATATTTCACAAGAAAAAGGACGACAGAGGACATATATCAATTTCCAAGCCATTACAAAAGACACAAAACACAAGGAGTAATCAGACGAAACCTAATGAATAATAATATCATTGAAGATAATTAATAAACTCATAAACTTCCTTAAATGGAAGCTCTTATTAGTGACGAAGGCTTTGATATATAGGGATAACCATATTGCTCTTATTTAATGCTACATATAATTCAGTTTGTAGGAGGGATTGGCCAAGACGTAAGCCTCAACGGCCTTGAAGAGTCCATCTCCCTTCTGCTTCCCAATCTTCAGCTCCTCTTCGCTGGGCTTGGCGTCTCCTTTCGTCACGTAGTTGACGGTCACCTTCACGACGGATCCGCCGTTAGGGGCGGCCGCCAACTTGGTCTCGACGGCGATCTTCTCCAAAGTCTCAGGGAATATGTCGCTCTCCACCAAGGCGTAGTTGTATACAAAGTTGTCCTTGTCTACTGCCTCCACCTTGTGCTTCGCGTAGTGCAATTTTCCATCTGTGCGTGCATATAATACCACATTTCTCGTTAAAATAATCCCTGAAACCCAAACATTCTTAAACAGATTCAAGCTATTATTCAGTGACATAGAAACAGAAAAAGAAATGGGACCTTCGAGGTAGTTGATCCTTCTGATGGTTCCAGCGGCACCAGTTCCTTGGAGGATCTCAATGCTCTGGACGGCATCAACGACCTTAGGGACGAGGTTGTCGCCATCAAAGACCAGAGCCTTGTAGAGTGTGGCAGGGGCAACAGCAGAGATATTCTCTTCGGAGAAAGTGAAAACGCCCATTATTATGAATATCTTTGAATGTTGAGAAAATGAGATCAGATGACAATGGAGGATCGGAGGTGTGGCAACTATATATTGGTTTTGCTTAGCTAGTAGAGTGATATGGTTCATGAGACAAGACACGGCGCATATTTATAGGGACTTGAGCTAGCTAACCGGTGGCTCGGTGATGAGGTTTTGTTCATTAATTGGGGTTGCTGGGTTTCATTTCGTGGATGCACTTTCAATTGTTTTCTGATCTTGTTAACGAGGAGGGAGATTTAATTAATTTGTCAGAAATGGCGGAATTTTATGGCGTAGTAATCTAGAAGGTATTGGTCTCGCAATTCACAACCAAATTCTTCACCCTTTAAATTCGTATGGAATCATTTATTCAGCCATCAACAACTATGGCTGTTCAGACCTTACTAATAAATGCGACAGCATTATTAATGCCCACGGAATATGATTCCGCCTTCTGCAAACTCTTACTTTTTTCTTGTTTTTTTTTTTTTTGGGATTACTTCTGCAAAATCTTCTAACATGTTTTATTCACAATTTCTCTTTTGTTTTTTTTTTTTTTGCCAGGGTTTTATTCACAATTTCACATAGACAGACTTCCTCGTTGCTCCGTTTTTTTCTTTCATAACAGGATCAAATTATGTGTTTTAAGTGTTGTTTAAAATTAATTGGAGATAATACTCTCATTTATATGGAACCTTTCATAAGAATGTGTGCAAATTAAATACAACAATATGAATAATATAAGTAATTAAATAAGCGTAAGATGAAAAATCAACGAATAAAATTTGCAATGATTTCTAAATATTTTTTATAAAAAAATGTCATACTCCATAATCGTATTTTATTTTAAAAAAAGGGACAGAATATAATATAGGAAGTGGTTTCAATACTCATCACTATTATGAGTATTATAATGCTCATCAACTAGCTCCATACACACACATTATAGGAGTTTTACATTGTTTAATTTATAGCTAGCCTATTCGAAATGAATTCGAAGCAATAATGCCCAATTGGGTTTTCAAGTAAAGTGGTAGTCAGGGATGGCGGATTTGGGTTTTGTGAGAGTTATGTAATATCTTGTTCATTGAGCTCAAAGTAATCCTTTTCCCCTTAGCCTGGTGAGAGAAAACAGACATATTCCACATGCAATCATCTTTGCCGTTTCGGAAGTTTTCTTCTCAGAACCAGTTTTCATCATGGTGCTATCATTATGATGAGCACCAAAACTGGTTCCTTAGATTTAATATTTGAATGGTTCAAATTTGATTTTATATAAAATATTTTTTTATTTTTTTATTATAGTATTATATTATTCATATCAAAATTTAGCCATTTAAATTTATTAATTATTTTTTAAACTTATAATTTAATATTTTGATGATGCTTTTATAAAGACTAAATCCTAAACATTCAAATACTACCTCTAATTCTTAATATAAGACCCAATTGACTAATTTAAAGAGATTAAAAAATTATTTAAGTTAATTATTTATAATAAATGTGTTATCTTTTCTAGAACCTGTTAATCATGTGTATTAGTTAAAATTACTGTTTGATGAAACTTTTTAACATGTACAACTACTATAAGAATTACTTTTGAAAAATAATAAATATAAAAGACAAAGTAGATTAAGACCTTATATTTAAGATCAAATTAAAAGTCAAACTAGTTCTTATATTAAAACCGAAAGTAGTATTGATCCTATGGCTATAAAAAGAGGAGGATGGGAAGGGTAGGAGAGGTTCCCAACGGCACTGAAAGTGTACCCCAAAACACATATAAAGACGCAAATTGAGTCATGCGTATTGCATATTTATTTATTTATTTTTATACTAAAGAGGGCAGAACCGAAACAACTAGACATTAATCAACAAGGGGATTGAATTCCATACACTCAATAGCAACTAAGACACGCAATTTGGGAGGGCAAGAATCTAAAGGACAGTTTTTAGATAAACCTTCTTTAGCTAGAAAGTCAGCAACCGATTCTTCTCTCTATGTGTGAATCTAATTTCCAGGTTCCAAGAGAGAGTGATAAGTTTCTGGATTTGTACCATCGAAAGGGCGTCTATTTAGACCCAAATATATGATTTAATACTTCTAGCGAAGTCATAGTGAGGAAGGGTCTTAATGGGCTCAAAGTAGGGTTGCCTGGCCGAAATCATCATCCAAAAATGAATCCGAAGTTTTGTGTTTATTTTATAATTTTGGTTTTTTTGGCAAGGTTAAGTGTCAAAGTCATTAATTAATGTTTTAGTGTAATCATTAATGGCATGTTAGGATTTTATTGTATTATTATTACTACTACTACTATTATTACTTAAAAGACCGGTGTCTTCCATGCCTGTTGATTTAATCAAATCTCCCAAGACAAACCAGAGCCTATATATATGCATGAAATCAGCCAAACCAAACAAATCCCACACTTTAGAGACACTTAGCTCTTACTCAAAATTAAAAACAATTATACTTCATTAGAAAAGGGCGACAGGCGACGACGGATATCAAATTCCAGCCATTACAAAAGACACAGACAAGAAAATCAGAAGAAACCTAATTAATTGAATAAAACTTGCAAACTTCCTTAAGTGGAAGCTCTTATTAGTGGCGAAGGCTTTGATGTAGATAGGGATAATCATATAATCCTGTTTAATATATATACTCAGTTGTAAGAGGGATTGGCCAAGACGTAAGCCTCAACAGCCTTGAAGAGTCCGTCTCCCTTCTGCTTCCCAATCTTGAGCTCTTCTTCGCTGGGCTTGGCGTCTCCCTTCGTCACGTAGGTGACCGTCACCTTCACGACGGATCCGCCGTTAGGGGCGGCCGTCAACTGGGTCTCGACGGCGATCTTCTCCAGTGTCTCAGGGAAAGTGTCACTCTCCACTAAGGTGTAGTTGTACACCAGGTTGTCCTTGTCCACGGCTTCCACCTTGTGCTTCGCGTAGTGCAATTGTCCATCTGTACATACACATAACACCGCATCGTCATTAAAATCTCCCAAAACCAAACGTTCTTAACAGATTCAAGCTAAATTATTCAGTGACATTGAGACAGAAAAAGAAAAGGAACCTTCGAGGTAGTTAATCTTCTTGATAGTTCCGGCGGCACCAGTGCCTTCGAGGATCTCAACGCTCTGGACGGCATCAACAACCTTGGGAATGAGGTTGTCGCCATCAAAGACCAGAGCTTTGTATAGTGTCGCTGGAGCAACAGCGGAAATGTTCTCTTCGGAGAAAGTGAAGACGCCCATTATGAATGAGAAAATGAGAAGGAAGACGATGACAATGGAGGAGGAGGTGGTAAGCTAGACTATTTTGGTTAGCTAGTAGAGTGATATGGTTCATGAGACAACATGGTACATATTTATAGGGACTGGCTAGCCGAAGTTAGGTGATGAAGTTTCATTAGTTAATTAAGGATGACAGGTTTGTTTTCATATTGCATACTTTGATTTCTTTTTTCCAACTTGGTGACGAAAAGGGAAATTCGTCAGAAATGGCGGATTTGGGTTTTGTGAGATTATCAAATTAATCTAGAAGGTGTGCTGCGTAAGAGGGTGTTGGTCTCACAACACATATTGTTAAATTCGTATGGAACCATTTATTGGACCATCAAGAACTCAGGCTGATCAGAGTCGGATCTTACTAATAAATGCCACCGCATTATTAATAACTACGGAATATATGCCACCTTCTTAACCGTGGTTTTTCGGAAGACTTTTATTAGTTGCATTATTTTTTTTTTCCTTTTCCAAGAGATGAGGTACAGAAACTTGTACAGAACAAAAGATATGAGATTTCAGCTTACTATAGTCTTAAATTCATTATGTTGTTAATAATATATCTGTATATATAGAGACACACACCCATATATAGTAAGTTTCACCTCGTTTAATAAATTTAAAGCTCTATCCCTTCGCGGCATGAATCCATATTAATAAACGCCAAATTCTGTATAATTATTAAATAAATAAAAAAGCAACAGATGCTGATAATATATTTTGCAACTTGTGATTGAGGAGGAGGTTGGGTTTTCAAGTAAAGCGGGCAGTCAGAGATGGCGGATTTGGGTTTTGTGAGACAGTGAGAGTTCTGCAGAAGGTGGGCTACGCAGGAGTCTCGGTCTTGCAACTACCATCACATGATGTGCTCCTTTCTTCGTCGTTTAGCCGCCTCTCGTCTTTATCATAATTGTGACGCCATTCCTGCCACCGCCCGATGCCACCTTTCGAGTTGTGTTGTTTGTCCATATATATAGATATCGCTTCACAATATAATAGAATGACTTGTTACAAAATACAAGTCATTTGAAAAGAATTAACGCTTAAATGTAATCCCTTTTTTTTTTTTCCTCATTTACAATCTCATTGAATATTGATAAAGTTGGGGAAAATTTTTCAATTTGAAAAAAAATGAGTTAACTATCATTTATTGATTCTAATGAATTAGTTCAAGAGACTTATATTGTAAATAAGATGGAGATATATATAGTCTAATCATAATAATATAATGAGTAGATGATAATATACTTCAAATGATACATCAAATTATTCTGGTAAAAAAAAAAAAACGATACATCAAATTTTTGTATGGTTAATAAAAAAAAAAAACATACCGAAAGGAGTTTTGCCCGGTGTAGGACATTTGGTGTGTTGATACATATCACATCAATCAATTATTGATACCAAATTGCTCCTGAGGGCTGAGGCATATGAATAAGTAACAAGTGGGCGTAGTTGTTGACACATTCCGTAATTTAACTCCCGCCACAAGACTCCAGGGCGAAGGCGGTGGGGACAGCCATAATAGATCCATGGCTTACAGTCCTACATCTTCATCTTTATACTCAATCAGGGCATTCTATTCCTTCATCAAATTGAATCTTTTTCTTACCATTTGATTGCCCCAAACTGTCCTCTTCAGAGCCCTCCTTTTCATCCCCAGAATGAGAGGACGAGTCCGCTCAAAAAGGGGCCAGAAAAATAAATGAAATTATATGGGACAGGGTGATGAATAAAGGCAGTCAATTTTTTTACTTGTTTGATCTGATCCACTCGTTTCTTCGGTTTGTTCTCAGAATAGTGGACTCAGTTCTCTTAGTAGTCATCTTTCTCTTATCATTCTTGAATGGGTAGGGTAAACAGCTCATGGATATCTTCAGCCAGAAGCACTTACTCCATCAAAACAGACATACTCCTCCGGTCCTAATTATAAGACCCAATTGACTTATTTGAGGAGATTAAGGAAGTAAGTTAAGTTGATTATTTATAATAAATAAATGTTGTCATTCCTAAAATATCCTTGCTAATTAAGTATATTGGCTAAAACTAGAAGGATTATCTTGGAAAAAATACATAAATATAAGAGACAAATGGATTAGGGTCTTATAATTAGGATCAAATAAAAAGTCAAATTGAGTCTTATAATAAGGACCGGAGGAGTATAACCTAAGTGGTTTAACCCAAAGTACAATCTCAAAAGCATAGAATTTTATTCTACTTCCACCCTACCAAGCCTTTTCAATTCTAAAGCCATTCTAAGCTATTGAATTAAAGCTCAATTATTAGAAAAAACAAAATGACTTATATTGGATCGTTAAATACTTAATTCAAAGAGCAAGCAACGATTTAAATAAAGTAGTTCTTCCTCCTTTGCATTATTGCGCAAATAGTTACAGATACATTACAGATGCATACATACATACGTAAAACGATCTCAACTACGACTTTATATCCCTTCTAGCAACTCCTACTTCATCACGATCTGAATAAACTCCTCCCTCGTCCTTATGCCTGGTGCTCCTAGTAGCTTACTAGCTAACAATTACTGTCATAAGTTAATCATCAAGAATGATGGAACTCAATAACCCTTGGACGAACTCAAACCTCCGAGCCTTCTCAATTTTATCCTCCTCCGACAACTGCGACTGTTGGGGTTTTCTGTAACCAAACACTTTTGTGTTAGAAAGTTCAAAGTCAGTTATAGATGAGCTCTGAAAGATTATTAGAAAGAAATAATTGTGCGTATATGCGTTATAGGAAGTTGAAATGAATGATATGACGACACAGGTCTTCAGACATGAAACCAAGACTAATACTAGTCAGCTTCACCGCTGAAGACACTGACCGGGTCACGTCTTTAACTTCAGCGAAACAAAGTTGAAATGAGTCTTGCCATATGCCGAAGGCACGTTCATCCAATCCTGAGACTTCCATATCAACTACTACTGCGGATACAAGTTCCCGCCCATTTTTTAACACAGGGAGAAGCTTAATCAAGTCAATGATATAGCATGATTCCTACCTTTCCAACAAATCATCCTTTGAGCTATCCTTTACAGGGGTAGCTTCAACTGAAGGACATGACATTAAACTCAGCGATTCATCAGCAACAACTGAGCTATGGATAAACGACGACAGCAGAGGATCAGGCGTAGCACTGGAGGGGCCTACATATGAAGAACCTCCAAAAAGAGACTGCAGAGCCCCTTTTCTCAGCAACGAAAATGCTGAACTAGAGCCTCCTCTCCTATACCTCCTCTTGTGGTGAGCGTAATTTTGGGTTAAGGAACAAAGGTGAAAACCCCAGTCCAGCATATCATGAAAACTGAACCAAACAATCCAAGACTTCTACCCAAGTATCGAGATTGCAGGGGAGAATTTCTATGGTAGCATAGAGATATAAAACTGGTTCACCTAAGATGAAGAGTTCTTTTCTTACATGATTTTCAAGTGGATGAAGACAAGCATAAGCGACCACAAGATGGTGAAAATGTTAATATCACCACTATAACAGGCTACTGATCATGATCAAACACGTCACATTAATTCATAATTATCAATTAAAAGCAGACCAGTGCTGCTTTTATTTTTCTGAAAATTAACTCAAGTTTCATAGTGTTCACCGTCATATATGCATACAATATTTTAATGCCTACTTAAAACTATATAACGTAGCATGAGACATTTATCCACCGTGAAATGTATTCCATTTCCCCCAAATAGATTTGATGAACAGAGATAAAACTAAACTAGCTATTGCACACTCCATGAACGTGTCTATTGGCTAGTATAGACAACAAAGCAAACGATGAAGATAAATTATAGGAAGCTAACATGCTAAATGAAAGGATATCTTCAAGAAATTCCGGTGTTGCATGGTAATATGGCCAACAAGATCCATTCCCACCTTTTTACTACAAACAGGACAGATCTGAAAATGCAAATAACAAAGAATCATCAATGTTAGAAGACAAACTACATTGCCAAAGACAACAAGGATAAAAAATCTATATAAACTCAACATGATACACAGCTTAATAATGATAAAAGCATAGTCCTAGGCTGGGGCATCAAATGATGGAATTGCAATAAGTGAAAAAAAGGGAGGCTTTTCAAAAGCAACCAAACTTAAGCAAGCTCCGGTACTAGAAGCAACAAAACCTAAAAAAATTTCTCATATTCTCCTGTTTAAAACAGTAGACCAGGTCTCTAGGTCCCTCCTGTGACTCTGCCGAGTCATCCTTATCAATTTAACATGGAGAACTTGTAAAACAAGTGTTCAGTCAAAACATAGCATCAATAGACGGTAACAGACAAAAATTATACTTTGCAGAAAATAATCAACTGCGACACCATTAGCACCTCATAGGTATGTTTACGCGGCAATTTACATTTCATTTCCTCAATACATATACATGTTTAGTTCAAATCTAGAGCAAAAAAATTAACGTGTTGAAGTTTATAGGTCAAAAAAAAAAGTTCATGTCGAGGGAAGGACGCCAGTGGATGAAGACGAATGAAATTGCATCGAGTAAACACACTTGTCTGATAAACGATGCCTCTCCTTCCTACTCATAAATGACTACCATTTAAGATTAAAACTAAGGGGAAAAAACGAAGAAAAATTATCGTACGAGAACAAAAATACGAGTAATAATTAAATGAAAAAACTAGAAACCAGAAATTAGATGAAATGAAACGAAATCCATACCCCGCTCTTAGCTTCCACAGGATGTTCCTCATCAATGTGGCAACAAAGCCCAAGGACGTCGTACTCGTCGCCGCAGAAAGGACAGAAAAACTCCGCCCTGAAATCATCATCTCCATCCGTATCCTCGATACCAACAAGGTACTGATGATCTACACAAACACGAATCCCCTTCCGATGATTCAGTAACAAACATAACCAAAGCCGCCATCAACTTTCCCACAATTAAACCCCCAAAAGAAGTTTGAGAGGAGAGACAAACCAGATCGAGATTGATAGCGGCGGGAAGAAGTAGAGAAACGAGCAGAAGTCCAGGAATCGGAGTCCATGCTAGAAGCGAAAGGTGGAAATGCTGGTGTCGGAGGAGGAGAGGGTAGCAGTTCGGTGTTTGGAGCAGGAAGTGAGGCGTGAATCGAAAGTGGTTGAAAGGGCTAAAAGTCGCAGAGAGAGAGAGAGAGGAGGATGAAGTAAAGAGAAGCGGAAGAAACAAGACAAGACTAGATGAAGAGTGAGACAGACCTTACCGACTTAACAGTTACGCGGGTTGAAACGCCTTTTTCTCTAAAATACCCACCTCTTTTTCATTTAGTTTCCGAAATGCCCTTCAATCTACATTCTGGCTTTTTTTAATACTTTAGGGGAAGCACTATCAGCGGCTCTCGTAGCTCAGTTGGTTAGAGCACCCGTTTAGTAAGCGGGAGGTCTTGAGTTCGACTCTCAACGAGAGCATTCTGCTTCCCTTTTCTACCTTTTTTCTTTTTTCATTTTTCCAGGAATTTTCCCGAGCACGGTTTGGATTTGGACCTCGCCTTCCTGGCCGCACGATTACTTCCCGTGGTCCCTTCCTTCAAGCTGTCGCATTCTCGAGGACAAAAAATGTATGCCTTCATTTTTCCCCCGCAAAATTTCTTTATACATTTTCTTCTTTTTTTTGCAAAAAAAGTCATTATACATTTTCTAAAATGTCACACTACTAAATAAATGAAAAATCTGTTTTCTAAGATTAAAAGTGACAAGATATGTTAAAGTGTCTTTCAGTTATCAATGTAAAATAAGAATATCAATAAGCTACGCTGCTTAAAATAGTACAATTTATTTGCCAGACATTATGTACTATATCCAATTCCAATGGAATTAGGGGTGAGCAAATAGCCCATAACCCGCTAGCCCGCCCATAACCCAATAATTTTTTACCCATTAAAGCCCGCCCAATTAGCCCAAATAGAAGATAATAAACGGGCTGACTTAAATGGGCGGGGTAGCCCATTAAACGGGACGGGCTATGGGTAAGGCTTCGGGCTGCCCATACCCGCCCATTTAAGTTTTATTTTTTTAAAAACATATTTTATTCTTTAGAGTTTAGACCTAGCTTCAGCCTTCAGCTGCCTTTCATTTCGATTTCACAAGCTTTCATTATCCGCTTCTTTCTATTCCAGTTTCCACTCCGGTTCGGCACTTCCACTCTTTCGAGTTTCGACTGAAGTACTGAACAGTGAACATTAAACAACTCTCTCAGCGTCACTACGTCTCCGCTGCCTTCGATCTGTGTCTGCGTCTGAGCTCCTCTGCGATTCGACTTCAAGCCAGCTGCCCAGTTTGCTTCTAGCTCCAGCGGTCTGTGAACTGTAATCGATTCGTCTGCGAGGGAGTGAGGCCGTGACTTTGCATCTTCATCTGCGACATTGGAGCTCCAGTGAATTAGTAATCATCTGCGAGCCTGTGACGCTGGGTTGCTGCATCTTCATCTTCGACATTGGAGCTCCAGTACTGCGTCTTGCCATCTTCGAGTTCGAGTTCGACTTCTCGCCTCTCAGCAGCTTCTCGTGGTGGACTGGTGGCGGCATCCCTCGATTTGTTGAAGATTGAAGCAAAGGTCGCTATCGCTGGTGCCTGGTAGCTTATTGTTCGGTAAATTTTTGTTTTTGACTTCTCTCTGTTCCAGTGTTCCTCCATTTCGTTGTCTCTCTGTTCGGCTATTCCAAATAATGACTATTGGGTTTGAATCATCTTGGTCGGGATGAATTTGGGGCTTCCGGGTAAAGGAAATTATTGAAGCAAATAATTTAGATCATGATATGCACTCTTCATACGTCTCAATAATAAAGCAAATAAGCAATAATATCTCACCCCAAAAAAGAAAATAATTCAAAGGCCAGATAAAATTTTAGCGCAAACACAGTCGACTTTTTTAACAGAGATGTACAATGTGCAAACGCTGAAGAGTCCCTCCACATATATTAAGTTCGTCAATTAAAAAATTTAAATGTTGGGATCTATTATTTTGTTTATGACTTACTTATATATAACTAAGATTACACTATGCTGAAAAAATTGTAAAAAAAAAGTAAAAAAATAAATGGGTTACCCATAACCCGGTCAGCCCAAACGGGCTGCCCCGCAACCCATTTAATACGGGCTAAAACGGGCTACTACCGGGTTATGGGTTAGCCCATGCCCGTTTATTCATAAATGGGCGGGCTATGGGCTAACCCTTGGGCTAGCCCAGCCCGCCCATTGCTCACCCCTAAATGGAATCTGTATGTAGTTGTAGATCACTGTGCTATCTGCTGAATGCTAATAACAGGTACAGAGACAGTCCTATCCTTTTGGTTCTCCATTCTTGACTTTAGTGTGCCAGAACTGATCATCTCATTGCTGCTTCTGTGCTAGTGAGCTGTTTCTCGTCATGACCCTTTTTCCATATTAAGGTGTTCCTCTTTAATGAAACTCATCTCTCCTCCACTTTTGGGCCCCATCATAATTGTCTTCTTCGATTCTATTTCACACATTCAAAAACAATTCAAATTCTTTACGCACTTATTAGAAGAGAAGCAGACCTTGTCCGATTGTAGAATTCATTATCATGCCGATTTCTCTACACCGATACCAAATGTATGGTTAAACAAAATCACATAGGTGCGTTCAATATACAAATAAAAGATAATTTGAAAGTGGTAAGTTTTTTTTTTTTTCCCTGCCAAAGATGTGGAAAGTTGCATCTGCTTATTGTATATTCTTACAACTTGGATCTACATCTGCTCTTCCACAAGGCATCTAAACTACACTTTTGGTGGAAAATTATTGACTGATTACATATAATCTTTGGCCTAAAAAAAGATTACATATAATACCGTATAGAAAGTCATGATATCCATAAAATCTACATACAATAAACTATAAGTCACGCTGCTTATATATCATATACAATATGACTCACTTTAATTTTCATACAAAACACTATTTGTACACTCACTTATCTTCGCTGTGTATGGCTCTCCAAAAGGGTTAATCCTACAGGCAAGAGGGTTTTCATCCAGCCAAATCACCAACATAAAATCCACAACTTGTAGAGCAGAGTATGGTCTTACAAACACAAAATTACCCTTTCGGACGTGCCTCAGCTCTTCCTCTTTTTCTTTCTTAGAAAAGGCATCGCACTAAATGCTGCTGCAGCATTCTCAGTATCGCCATGAGCATTCTCTGATATCCAAACCCCAGTGTCAGACTCAGACCGATCATAATTACCTCTAGTATTCACAGAGTCATCATTCATCTCACTCTTGTGTTTAGTGTTCTCTCTATCTTGAAGCTCCATTCCAGATATTTTCTTAACCGAACTTGATTGATAAGCAGTATTTTTACCACATTCAGCCTCATCTGCAAAACCAGAACAACCAGGAGTAAGGTCTGCACTATCCTCTACTATAGTTGCTGCATCGTCATGAATTTCATCATGTTTGCTACCTGTCTCATCCTCATCTAGGCAAAATCCACCTCCCACTCTAAGGTAGGCGCCGTCACGAATTTCATTATGCTTGCCACCTGTCTCATCCTCATCCAGGCAAAATCCACCTCCCACTTTAAGGTAGTCTGCATCACGAGAGCTATCACAATTGCTCGTTCCTGCATGACTAGCTTTTTCTTCATCAGTACAGAAACCCCCTCCAGATTCCAGATAGCTTCTAGACAAATCCTTCTTCGGGGAAAAATTTATTGTGCTTTCCTTATGTCTGCTGAAACCAGAGTCAGCATTGGCACAAACACCATGCAGCCCAGAAAATATTTCATCTATTTTCTCTCCATTCAAGTCTGTCTTATTGCTCTGATCAGATGTGCTATGCAGCCCAGAAAATATTTCATCTATTTTCTCTCCATTCAAGTCTGTCTTATTGCTCTGATCAGATGAGATAACAGGATCTTCAACTTCAATGTTGTCTGTGGAATAGTTAATAATCTTCCGAGGACGCATAGACTGGAAACATTGGAAGGAAAAAAAAAAACAGAGAATAGCACCATGAAAAGAGTGTAAAAAAGAATTTCCGGAAAGATGAAACCTGTAAACTAGTGGCAGGATGCAAGTCAAAATATGCTTATAAGAGGAACATGACATTATAATCATAACTCAGCATCTCCCTAGATGTATCACTGCATAAATACTGATAAGTGAAAATGTTCTGAGTCTCACTAAAGAAGCAGAAAAGAAGGGGAAATTATCTAAAGACGACACCTGAGTAAAGATCTTAAGCGTTTGTAATTAGGTTTTACCATAAAAATATAGTATGTGGTGTTCAAAACAAAAAAAATCCGTTTCGTCTGAGAACCTGATAGGAAATACCTAAAATTTATCCCTGTATGTTTCATCCAGACCATAATCGCCTGATAATTTTTCTTCCTTGCGCAGGAGAGATTTCATGGAATTCAGAAGAAGAAGATTGCTTCTAGGAGCCAATTAACAATAAATATAAATTAAGCCTATATTCCACATCAAACAGCAAAGGTCTAGTTTAAACTCCACAACACTTCCTCCTTTATTTTCCCCCCCTCAAAAATAAAGAAATAACTGCATAACAACAAAACATATAAAGAGAAAATCTATAATAGCATTTTCTAAGTTATCAATTAGTGGAAACAGAACAAAACTCACCCTTCGGATCTCTTCTGTCCCTCTTGAGTTTTTACCATGCACTTCAGGCTCATGGTCATCACTGTCACTGTCACTAGATGTAATTTTACGTGAATCAATACCAAGACTTCTCTTCCTCCTTCCTCTTGGAACCCTTCCACCTTTTTCTCTGCCTTTGCTGCTTCTACTTCTACCTTTTTCAGGCTCTTCACCTGTCTGCACAACTACCTCAGGCAGACCAGAAGGTGAGGCAGGAGCATTTAATTTACCCTTTTTCCTTGACTGTGTCTTGGCAACAGTATCTCCAAAATTCTTCCTTTTCCTTGACTGTTTTAAATTTACTGGCTTCTTGTCAGCAGGGCTTTCTCTCGTTCCCTTAAAAGTTTCTGATTTGCTAATCCCAAGTTCAGCAGGAATTCCTGTCTCATTCTTCCTACTCTTAGACAAGTCCTCTCCAGACTCATTTGTAAACTCTGAATAGTGATTGCCAGTGATTCCTTTCACAGCTTTCTTAATCCTCTTACTGCGAATTTTTGCAAATCTTTCATTGAAAGTATAAAATGCTTCCAACCGCAGTTGAGTCTTAAATGAGAAGATTAAATGAAAATCAGTATATTCTTACATAAAAATGAACGTGTGAAAAATATCATGTAATCCACCATTGAAAAGCTCTCAAAATTTACATGGACCAAATTAATTTCATCTTTTAATATAATTTACTAAACAATTAATAACATCAGCATGTTTAACAAGAAGAAGATAGAATGTAACTCTGACCTCATTTTTGTTATATTCCTTTAAAACTGGTAAAAGCAACTCATCTGCTTTCTGACTAGTCCAGCCAAACTTCTCCCAGCATAATCTGTACGGAAACAGCCATTCAGAACATCATAAAATGTCGGAATACAATTTCAAAAGCTGCTAGTAAATTCAGAACTTCCATAGTTCTGTCAATACGTAGACCCTCCAAAAGCCAATATCCATTTCTGATGTTTGAGCACAGAACAAAGACCAATATTATCATTTTGAAAATGCACATGCGGGCAATAAAAGAAAGAAGCCTCATTCACTTGATTGAATTATGATGCTAGAGACAACCCTGTACTCCCCTCCTTTTTAAATTCCCATCCAAAGTCAACCCACTGAGCCCGATGATCACTTGGTGAAAATGAAAAACCAATATAGAGAAGAAATTGTTATAAAAACTCACTTGCGAAGAACAAGATGATCCGGCTTTCCCCAGGAAAATGGATCAGTTGACTTGTCCACTTGTGGACAGGAGTAGGCAGATATAACTGTTTCACTTGGAAAAGAAGAAGGGATGTGCCAATTCTTGCTCACATTTCTCTGTATGAGAAGCCATAGAAGAAAAAGATTCATATCAAATATGAGTATGCAAGAACCATCCATATACCAACGAAAAACAGATAGAGCAGAAAATATGATTACATGTTTGCTCATAAAAATCTGCTTGATTTCTTGCACTTCATCCGATGAATCATGTTCCTGAGCAAGGGAAACGTTTTGATCCACCATAGTCTCTTTATTGCAATTTGTGCCAATAACGTTTTCTTCAACTTTTGACCCTTTCTTTCGGGTGCTGGATCTGCTTTTTGTTTCATTCCTTCCAAAGATTGTAGGGTCCGGTGACTCAACCCACTGCCGGAATTTCAGAAGGCCATCTTCCTCCGGGAATGCATTTACAACCTCAATAGCATTTACAATTCCAATTCCACTACAATGACATACGATATGAGAACATGTGGTCAATTTACCTAAATCCAATATCTGAATATACAAGCATATCACTGAAATGCAAAGTAGTTCTATAATCAGATATCTACCATCTAAGTCAACAAACCGATTCAGACAAGAAAGAAAAACCAAGATATGACTTCCAGGCAGATAGCAATTGCATCACTAGCCACAACAATACCAAGGCCAATTGAGGTACTAATTATCACACCTTACACCTTCAGTATAATCACTCCCTAGAAGCAAAGCCATGCGGATTAATTTTTCTCTCGTCAATCCAAGCTCCTTCTCAACGTCCTGAACCAAGAAGAAAGAGAAGTGTTCAAACAAGAAACTGTTACCGTAGAAATTACTCATCCCACGCAGGTACAGACCTCCATGAAGTATGTCTCTACATATTTGCGATCATCAAATATATTCTTGTAGACACTCCGTGCCCCAAATAAAAAGACATCAGAGTCATCAGTCACAACACCATCCACCAGTTTTGCAAGTTCCAAATAAGCACATTGTGCTTCTGCTTCCATTGGAGCGATAATGTATGGCAAGCCAAACATTTGCAATAGTTCCTACAAAAAATCAGATGCATCAACAACGCAAAGGATCAGGGTTCTCCTTTCATATGTATGGAACATCACTTGTCAAGAAGTATATTTTTAAATCAGAATAAAGTCTTACTACAGACCAAAAGCAAATGGCAAGCAATGTTGAAAGCAAATGGCAAACAGTATCTCTAAACCAAGACCATATGATGATACGGTACTTGTGTTATTTTGTTCTATTTTCAAGGGTGTAAACGGAAGTTGGGTTTAGGCTGAGATCAGCTTCTGTTCCTTGGGAACTGATGAAATGTTATATTTTGAATTAATACAAAACCCAAGTTCTATTTCAGACTGTTCTGTTTTATACTTTTATTTGCCTGAAACATTTACCGATCTAATCTGGAAGATCTGGTGAGGTTTAGTGGTTGAGTTTCCGGGTTACAACATTCTCTCTCTTTCTCATTCCCCCTCCCCCATTTTCCCCTTTGTCCTACATAACATAACCTGGCTTTTCTATCAGCCAAAAACAAGAATAACTTCAGTCAAGATGTGATGTATAAGTTGTGTCTGGAAAACCTGCAAGAAAACTCATGCATTGAGATTGTCACAAGGCTAAAGAGTCTAACCTAGTTAACACCATCTAGTTTGAAAAAAGTTGTTTCAATTGTTGCTTACTAGCCCAAACTGCTAGATGGATTATTTTTTGAAAACCTATGAAACACCAACTGACAAGTAAGCTATATTGAGATCCTTGCTGCTCAGTCTTCCAGATATAAATTAGATATGAAATAGCAGTGCTTTCACCTTCCAGTGCAAGATAGAGCTCAAACATATCCTTTAGCCATGTTTCAAGGACAGTATACTTCATAAATTAATTAACAACCTTCCAGTGTAACATTCTTTAATAATCGCGCACTTGTTTTCAGACTGCTTTGAGTTGTCAATGAAAAATACTATGACTGGTGCAAGAAGTAACACAACAGCAAAAAAGCCCAAGACACCTAAAAACAACATTTTTTATATGGTTAAGAGAGCCATGCGTCATGTCTATGATGAGTGGTCAAACCTGACATTCAGTGAATAACTCATTGTTAACAGATTCTGCATTGCGTTCAAGCTTCCTCTGCTCATATTCTAGGTTGGCATATTCTTGACCAAGAACTCGGATTTCTTCCTCCAAACCACGCTCAACTGCATCTGCAGACAAATGACCTGGGGCTTTCATTGCATCTTCAACAAGGTTATTCTTGTTTTCCTCAAAGCTTCCATGTTTATCCTCTCTAGGCAACTCTGACTGAGTTTCAAGGTCTTTGGCAGACAAAAAACCTGGGGGCTCTATTGCATCTTTACCAAGGTTACTCCTCCTTTTCTCAAAGCTTCCACAATTCTCCTCTCTAGGTAACTCTGACTGAGTGTCAAGGTCTTCTGTTAATCCTTCCAAGGAGGAACCCACAAAAGGAGCAACAGGCTCAGGCATCTCAGAGTAATTACCAAAAGGTTCAGCTACATGACTGCAGTTCTTTTTCTCCTCTTCCGAAGCACCAAGGGAGTCAGCTACAAGAGATCTGTTACCATTGGTAGACACCTCGCCATCTTCATTTAAGGTACCTGTGAGTTGCTCTGCAGCCATATGAATCTCATTCCTCGTGCTGTCATTTGCAGTGTACAACAAATCTTCAGCATGTGATCCTATCTCCGTCGAATGAGGCTTCCTAATATATGACACTGTCTTCTTGGAATCAACCGCCATAGATGACTTTGACTGTCTCTCAGGAGACTGGGAAACATGTTTGTCACTTCTCGTTGTGCTATCCATCTTATCATTTATAGTTTTATAATTTGATTCACTGTGTCCAGTGTTACCTTCCCTTTGCAAAGTGGACTCACCCATTCCAATGTCTTTATTCAGTACTCCAAAATTGTCACAAATACCCTTCGCTCCAGGGCCAACCAAATTATCATCTTGGTTTGATACATAATCTGATTTGTCCTCGTCTGCATTTGAATGCTTATGACTGGATGATGTGCAATTAAGTTTGTGGTCCCCCATGACCTCTAGACTTCTCCGTATGGCCTCCTGTAAATCAGCCTCCTCCTCCAAGTGACCTCGAGATGTTTTTTTCTGCTCCTTAGCAGCACACGTGTTAGCATCATCACAAACTCCATCCTCCCATTCTACATCAGACTCATCATCATAACTATCTTTAGCAACAGATGGTTTTATTTCCACATTAACATCATTTTTACCTTCAACGGTTCCTTCCTCCCAGTCACAATCAGAACTAGAATCAGAAACTTGTCCTTTCAATGAGTTATTGTCAGCACAAGAAAATACTACTGAATTACTACCTGCTACTAAACTAGCAAATAAATCATCTTCATCATCATTAAGGCACTTGTTATCACCATCATCCATGAAGGATATCTCTAAAGGAGCATCCCCTGCTAATGCAGGGTGTTCATTTCTAGAATTATCTCCAACTAAGTCAACATGTGATCTGTCAGACGTACCAACAGATCTTTTTGATGCAACATTTTTCTCCCCACTAAGAATTGCATTATTATTTGCTGCCTTATTTGAAACTGTTCTTTCCAGCTCAATCTCCTTCATCAGATCCAAATTCCTTTGTATGTCACGAGTCATACGCATCCCCATAGCTCTAAGTCTACTAACACGAAATTGGCCCCTATCATCCAGATAAGTTTGGATGTTCTCATCAGATGGGCTTCCAGCTTCACTGCAAACTAACCCACTTGAGGTACTAGATTCGTTGGCAGGATCACTACTATTCACAAAACCCTGAGAAAAATGGTTCCCTTGAGTCTTTTTATGAGAGTCTTTATTTTTCTCCAAGCCAGTAGAAGTAAGTCCTCTGCAACAAATGAAATTGTTGGGGTGATAATCCAGCACAATCATAACCGATAAAGAATAAATACCCAACAAATAATTAAAAAAAAAAAAGATGCTATCAACCCTGATATCAGCACAAAATAAAGAAATAAGATAACTCACTGTTTATCACCGGTAAAAGATCTTGAAAATATATACTCTCTGTTGGCTTCAGATGCAATACGAGAAGTTCGTACACCATCTACCACTCCCCCTGCAGCTACTTTCTGCACTTCATTTATCTCCCGACGGAAAGCAACAGTTTTAAGGTAAGCCTGTATTTGCAATTCAGAGAATTTTGCAGGATCCTGAATGATTCCGCAAAGATGCTGTCAGACTACAGTAATCCCAACTACTTAATATTGAAAAAATGTACTTTTTATTTAGCATTAATGCCACAGGTACAATTGGGCATATGTTTTATATTTTCATAAAGCATAAAAAAATGTTTCGGCTGACCAACCTTCTTGACTTTCTGATACTTCTGTCTGTTATCTGCGATCAGTCGCTCTCTCATCTGCAGCAATGTTTATTAATAGCTAACATCAAAATAAGCGAAGAGGTGCTGAAGCTAGAAAGTAACCTATCTGCGCATCTACCTGACCAAGGAGGTCAAGTTGCATTGATGGAGGCAAAGAGGCTAGAACAGCTGGATCAACCTTACCATGCATCGCTGGCTGCAGGATTTAATTATATGAAATTAGAACATCATCCTTAACTAAGAATCAATATTATTAAAGTTGATACATAAACTCTCATAACTGAGAGGAAGTTTTATTTCCCCAAAAAAGCATCTAAGAAGCATTCTCAAGTTATTCAATTTACTTGCCAAGATTATGCTTATTATGAGGAGCTCTAGTAGGCTTCAAAAATTGCAGAAATTGCAATGAGAAGAAGAACAACTCAGGACTCAAAAATGAACTAACCAAGATCATTTCTTCATCTTCATCATTAACGTAATCCTCTTCCTCGGAGATGAAAGCTCCAGCAGACGTTGATGCATTGTTTACAAACTTTTCATTTTCCTCAGCCAAAATAGATGCAGCCAACCTAATAAATTCACCAAAATAATCAGCCTTTACCAAGCCAAAAGCTAGATGACTAGAAAATCATGAAATTTCATGCAGCTTACATCTCATCCACTTTGTCCTGATTGCATTTCTTTGCCACCATATCATCACTGCTTGAGCTACCTCCAGCTGTGTCAATTTCATGCAACAGAATCCCCTTGCCCCTGCCCTTTTCATTGACCTCAAATTGTTTCTGGTTGTCAGAATCCTTAGGTAGGCCTTCTATTTTTTTCCCTTTAATCTGTCATCAAAAAACAAATATAAACTAAGAACATATAACGACAAACCAGCATATCATGGAAGAGCAAGCAAGTCAACCAACAATAGTCAATACTCAATAGGATTGAGTAAATATCGTCTAATTAATGAAGGGAGACATTATACTCCATGGTATAAACTCCTGGAAAATGTCATATCTGGTTCCAACATTCCAGCTGATATCTACTCTGAATATAGATGTTAATTCTAAATTTAACACCAAAAAAATGAAGGAAAAAAAAAAAAGAAAAGAAAAGAAAATCATCCAGCTTAAGTAATGACCATTGACAGTATATTTAAAAACTGACCTGAGAGAGAATATCAAGTTGCATCGACTGCGGCAAAGCAGCTAACACAGATAGATCAACTTCAGTACCTAATGCCGTCTGCAAGGAGAAGAACCAAACAGCAACAAGTCAGGTGAAAGTTTAAGTAATTCGAAAGCCTCAATAACGAGCATTAGGATCTGACAACTGCATAGAGATGCACCCTTGTATGCCGCTAAGAGTTTAATGACACATTCCAAGTAAGTACAATTAAGGAATAAGGAATATATATAAAAGCATCCATAAAAGTTATAAGACTCATAACATTGGAATGCCGGCCAGTATTATCTCTCTCACACAGAAATTATTGTGCAGGTGTGAATCCTTAAAAGAGTCAAACTGTATCAATTTACAAGTGCAGGTGCATTATATATAGAGTGAATAGTGATCCCATAGACGGTTATTAAATATGAATCATAATATGCTATAATTTGATGTTTAAAAAGTCAAAATAAGGCACACACTTACAAGGAATTAAATGTCAACAGTAAAGAACAGTTAGGAAACAGGAGAAAATAAAAATCAAATGCAAGAAAAATACTACTAAAAATCTTCAACTTTTAAGTTGACTTTGAAGTGGGGAAAATCAATGCTAAGCTTGGTTTTTTGGGCAAATGGAGGTAGTATAAGCTGGTTTTAACAAATCTTAATGAACGCTTCTTAATCTGTACACTGAAAATTCAAGTTTGCAAACAGTGAGGAATATAAGCTCGCAGACTGTCAGCTGACGTCTGAGAGTGTAACCCAGTGCCTTACTTTACCAAATCCTATAATTCAGGCCATTCCATCTGTCCCCTTTTGCAAACTCACCAATATTATTTCTGGATCTGTATCACCTTCCCCGTCAGAGGGATTAACTATACCAGGCGGTGCTTTGCCAGCTAATAATCCATCTTCCTCTGCAACAATAGACGCCGCCAACCTATATTTGCACATACAGACAGGACAGAAGGGTTACCTACTACATCTGAAAATTCCCTTGGCCTGAGCACAAAATTAAGTTCATAAATTATCATTTATGCATAAAATTGTTTGCCTCAAGCTATTTGTTTAGGATAAATGTACAGATAGCTTACATTGCATCAAGATCCTCCTGATTGCGACTTCTTGATACAGCAGTCTTTGATATATTCTTGTCCGCCTCAGCTTCACATCTAAATATATGAAAATCAATATAAATATATAAAAGCTCGCTCACAACTCTTAAAGAGACAAAAGAATCACAGTGGCTTCAGCGACTCACATTTTATCTTGTTCTTTTTCATTGTTTCTTCCTAAATCGCAGCCAATTAAGTCTGTCCGATCAGATTTTTTCTGACCCTTAGCACCACTGTTCTGCTCCAGCCTCTGGTTTTTAACATCATCTGAAAGTTTTTTCAACTTCAGTGCCTTTAACTGTAAAGAGAAATTTGGAAGAAAAAAAATGTTGATAAGAGAAGAAAAAACGTAGGTCAGATAACTGAATTCCAGTAGCCAATACAAAAAATTTGATGCATCGTCATAATGTGCTTATTTTGCTGTTTTAGCTCAATCATTAGTATTAACTGAATGGTGGTGCTACATACAACACTAAATACAATTAGCAGAAAGGGCTAAATCCAACATTTTCAGACATCTATGACCCTGAAGTCAGGAATCCTTTTGCAATCTGAGACATAGGTTAGGAAAAGGATATCTTTTGTATTTAACGGTTCAAAACAAGAGCACGCTCAATGACAAATTTTTGAGGCTCCTTTCCTCACTTCTCACACTATAAAAGAACATCACATTAAAGAACATCACATTATTATGAATTACCAGAAGACAATAAATTCACAGGATAGAGAATCACGTACAAACGTCTAGAAAAATACAGAACGAATATCCTGCTATCCGCCCAAGTAGGTTAATAGCTCGCAAGTGAGAAAATGATAGGAAAACCCCCAAAATGGATTTTAGTAACATTGACAATCACTTTGTCCATGTCATACGTATTTGGATAATATAATTATAGATACGCCCATGTCAGTTTTCATTCCCATGAAGCAGAGAAGCCCACTTATAAGCAACGCTAATTGATGCAAAACTGCACCTAAAGGTAACATTTTTGGAAATGACGCGACGCTGAAAATATCAAATAGAATAGCAGAAACTCACATGATTGAGAAGCAATTTCTCTGCAGTCTTTCGAACTTTGGCCTGAGCATTTTCCCGCTGCCTCCGACGCGCAATCACAGTACGTCGCTTGAGAACAGGCGTGCCGCCATCGAAGACAAAAACAGGCTTAGTCCGCAGAAACAAGAGCTTGCAAATCCGGCGAAAGAAGCCGAGCAAATGAGCATTGTGAACTACTTCTCCCTTCTCATCGCGCATTGCCTTCATAAACTGAACCATCCATATGCTTGCATCTGCGAAAATTCAGATGCCCAGGTGATATTCTTGTGATCGGAAGAGCACCCAGACTGATGGATAGGGACTGAAAGAGAGAGGGAAAAAAGAGAGTACCAATGGCGAGCTTCTTCCCGGCAAGGGTCTCAACGGAGACCCGACGACCAACGGGGGCAAAAAGCTCCCAGAGACCCTTCACTCCCATTGTCTTGCTGCCCAAGCTGTTGGCTTTGCCGCGCCCGCGCTCCCAATGCTATGTATTGTTCCCCGAACTGGGTCCCTTGCCGATTGAGAGAGACGGGGTCAGAGTCAAACTCCCCATCTCATTACGGGAACCGCGCGATGGATCCGATGATTGATATTAAGCCATGTCATCGAACAAAAACAGTGACAATTGATTTTGGGCCCGAATGGCTTATTCAATTGTGATGCCAAACAAGGCCTTAACAAGTGGGAAAGACCATTTAGCAAATACATCTTTTTTTTTTATTTTTTAATTTGATAATTACATTATTTTTACTTTCATTCTGTTAGTAACCTTGCTTTTTTAGCACTGTTAACCTGTATAAGTATTAAATTAAAAATTTTAAAAAATACAAATAACTGCAAAATATTTTTTCCGATTCAAATTTTACAGATCACCTCGCTGAGTGAGACTTGAACCTGTTCATTGTGCTAAAGTGTTGGTGGCATAGATGTATGGGAGCTGCCATGGGCTTGATGATAGACAACCTGTTCTGATTGCCATGTTTGGACTGGCCGAAAATTAATTTTCAGCCCAATTCAGTTATAGAATATAGTTTGGAAGGAAAAAAAAAAAGGAAGAAGTCATTTTGACATATATTAATTTAAATAGGCTCAGAATGAATTTATCATCTTTCTCAAATGAAGAGAACAAATTAGGAGTGGGATTTTTAGCCAAAAAAATTAAGTGAGATTAGAATTGCAGGTAAGAGAGACTGCATAATTGGGCTTTGAATGGCGTTGGTGGATTTTGTGAGATGGATCGTAGTTTGGTGTCATCTCTCCTCCAGTTTTGGGCCCCTTCATAGCCACGTTGCTCCATTCGATCTCACACATGAAAACAAGGGAGAAACACATACAGGGAGGACAAAAACACAGAATCCCAAAAACTTTTCGGGTTTATTCAGGAATTAAGTTATTATTTTATTTTTTTTAAAAAAAAACTCCCTCCACTACCAATCACCAGCTGCCACCAGCTTCGGCGCCAATGGCTGGAGAATTTTCAGGCAAGGATTGGCCTAGATGGGATTTAATCCCATCACCTTTTTGAAGCATTATTCCTCCTTACTAATATAGCGCGAAATACTATAGAAGAAATAATCATGTTTGAGAGATTGTCAAACACTTTTTTCGGTAGGAATTCAAACATCAATTCGTCATGTTATGAAGAATCAAATCCTTCCACTAGATACAATTCTACTTGATTGACTTGACAACGACTTTTTTCCCCGCACATAAGTATACTCCTGTTAGAGGTAGTCATATTTGAGACACTCCTAATAGAAATTCAAACTTTTTTTACTAAAACATAGATATCCTCCTATTGGAAGCAGTCTTCTTCGAGGCACTGTCGATACTAAATGTGAGTACCTCTTCCAACAAGGATTAGAACCTTGGTTCATCCCGTTGTGAGAGACTAGCCCCTTCTGTTAAACCTAACCTTTGTTGGTGACACTACTTCGTCTGATGAAACAACACGGTTTCATTTCAATTTTCCTCTCCTCACCTGGTTTGGCCCTTTCATTCCTTTTTTGCCACACTGGGCTCAAGGCCAGTTCTAGTTTGGTCCCAACACCTTCATTGTTTTAAAATAGAGTTCTTTTTCAAACCAGAGATTTTTGCCCCATCTCATGCACACAAGAGGCAATAATTTTTTATACCAAAAAGGGGAGATAATAATTTATCTCTAAATAAAAAATTGAAATATGATAAAAAGTATACAACATTCAATATAATATACTACCTCCTATCCTAATTATAAGAGCTAGTTGACTAATTTGAGAAGATTAAGGAAGTAAGTTGAGTTAGTTATTTGTCCTAAATAGGTGTTGTCTTTGCTAAAATATCTTTGCTAATCAAGTGTATTAACTAGAACTATAATTATTAGAAGGATTATCTTGGAAAAAATTGAGTAAATATGAGAGACAAAGTGGATTGGGATCTTATGTTTATGACCAAAATAAAAATCAAACAGGATCTTATATTAAAAACAAAGAGGTAATATTTCAAAAACTATGAAGCCTGAAAAAAGATTATGTATGGAGAGATCACAGAGAGTTGTGCGTTGTAAACCCATTAGACTTTGTAATTTATTTCCCCCAAAGTGGAATTTTCAGAGAAGCTTCAGAGAAGCCATGTCACGTGTATGGCAAAGTCCAATGAAAGAGAGTTAATTAGGAAGGTTTAAAAGGTCAATTAGGAACATGGGATGGCAGTGGGAAGAGAAACGGCCAAATGGGGGCCGTGAAAGGCAGTGTGATTGAAGCTGAAAGCGTGAAAGCGACTTGGTTGAGAAGCGCACGTACGCTTCCCCCTTCTGGGTCCCTTAGCCCTTTTCCACCTTATACATGCGACGCCTTTGATGAGGCCCACTGGACCCCACCTCCCCACCGCGTTGGCCCCATCCCCTCCCACGTGTCACATCGGATTCCTCCATCCACATCCTTTTAACGCGTCATCTCCCCCACACCGCCACCTCTTTTTTCTTTTTTTCTTTTTGAAAAAAAATTTTCTGCATGAAAATATAATGAAATGCGCTCCTCGCTCTTTAAAAATGTCCCTTTTTTAAATAGAAACTGTATATCTATTAATTACAAAAAAGCAAAGCAAAATTTAGAAGCATAAAAAAGGAGCTTCTTTCACCATCATCCATCTCTCATTGAGAAAGATGGGATATAATAAGAGATGTAATAATTCCCTTTCATACAATATAATAACTTGGCAAAGGGACCATCCATAAAATTATTTTTTCTGTAAATGTAATAGAATGTCACCTACCAATCGTTACACAAAATTATTCTAGTTTCATCAACAAATTCACTAAAAGGATACGTAGGATCACAGACCCTATGCAAATACTCCTCCAGTCCTTAATATAGGACCCAATTCTTGAGTTAATTTTGGTCCTAAATATAAGACCCATTCATCATATTTATCAATTTTCTCTAAATTACCCCTATGGATACTCTTTCAACCATAATTAAGTATAAGAGAGAGGAGGGGTATTAAGAAAGATGACTATGGTATTTTAGGAAAAATGTGTCACTTTTTTTATAATTAACTAACTTACCTAACTTCTTTAATCTAATCAAATTAGTTAAATGAGTCTTATATTAAGGACCGGAGGAGTAATTAGTAACATCAATACAATTAGAGAAAACAAAAATATTCCTATAGTTTCTATACCATCGCAGATTAAGACCATGAATAATTGCTGTAAGTTCTGCTATAGCCATAGGTACTATGGTAATCCTGCAGTTAAAACCATATATCCAGACACTTTTATCTCTAAGCACCACTCCGCATCCACTCTTTCCTCCTTCAATAACAGAGGCGTCCGCTTCTAGTCTTATTGCATTATCTAGAATGGGCTAAAAACATACGCTAAAAATTATAAAATTCATAAATTTCGTTACTACCTTGTACTTTTAATATAAGAATTTGTTTGATTTTTATTTAGATCATAAGTATAAGACCAAAATCTATTTTATCTCTCATATTTATCTTTTTTTAAAGTAGTCCTTATAATAATGATAGTTTCAGCATTAGCAAGAATATTTTAAGAAAAGTCATATCCATTTATTACAAATATCTAACATAATTAGTTTTCTTAATCTATTTAAATTAGTAAATTAACTCTTATGTTAAGGATAAGAGGCAGTACTCCTCCGGTCCTTAATATGTGACCCAATTGGTGAGTTGGTTTTGGTTCTAAATATAAGATCCATTTTTCATATTTATCAATTTTCTCTAAATTACCCCTATAGATACTCCCTCAATCATAATCAAGTGTAGAAGAGGAAGATGAGGTATTAAGAAAGATGATTATGGTGTTTTAGGAAAAACGTGTCATATTTTTTATAATTAACTAACTTACCTAACTTCCTTAATCTAATCAAATTAGTTAAATGGGTCTTATATTAAGGACCGGAGGAGTATTATTTTTATAAGCTTTTTAATAGCACTCCCCTTCCCTATTTACCTTCATATCTAGAGTTCTAACTCTTTTATCTATATCTTCTTTCATTCACACTCATTTCTATCTCAAGTGGTTTTTTTTCCTCTCGTATTTGTGTATCAGTATATCTACAAGTATGCATGCATGCACGATCATGCTCGATTTGAGGATTAAAGTAATTTTCTCAGTACTTCTTTTTTATTCGTAAATTTTGAACCATCAATTCATTTTCCAAATATGAAGAGTTATTCCGAATAAAAACTATATAATTCAAAGGTAATTATATTATCTGCAACGCATTCTCTATTCTTGATTGGAAACGACGGGCCTGGCCGATCTTCAATTGCACACTATGCCTAAATGCCAAAGAAGATTAACGTAATAATCATTTTTGTAAACTTAGGCCAAATCAGCTACTCAAGCCAATTGTGCCGACATAATTAGACATTTTGAAAACACACACACGCATATATATAACAGAACCAGCTAAGAAAGCGTGGGGTCTGGGTTTCGTGACTGCAATATAGCTGGATCCTGGTGTCAAATTCCGAATGCACAATAGTGACTGGGGGACTGGGTTGTGTGTGTGTGTGTTTGTTTTTACGTGTTGCTGAAGTTAGATTAAAACAGATATTTCACTGAAAATAAATTTTGCTGAATTTTTAATTATTAATAAAATTGAAGTTTTGGCAAACACATTATACAAATTAGTAGGTTTCGTCAAAAATAGTAGGTTTCGCGTTGAGGGTATGTTCGGCAGGGGGGAAAAAAAACTTTAGCTATGCAATACCTCCACTTAGACCTGAGAAAGCGGGCTGGCGGTGCAGATACGGGCCAGCCCGCCGCTATGCGGGCCGAAGTAGCCCGCACCTTGGCATGCCAGCCCGAGCCCACCAATGTGGGTTGGCGGGCCAGCCCGCTTAATTTTTTTTAATTTATTATATTATTATGAGTTAAGCGTAGTTTGAAATGTTGGAATTAGGCTCCGAATTTTAAACTTGAGTAATATATTCAAATTAATTAAGTAAATCTTT